GGTATCATATAGTCGGCCCCGTCCGACTTTACCACTTTCCTTACTGGTTTAAAATTATTTTTTCTAACTATTCGCAAGAATTTAAAAATATTTTATTAAAAATATTACTTCAAGGATTACTAAATAAAATTAATAAATAACAAATTTCGGAGTTTGTATTCATCTCTTCCCACGTAATGTTTCCACTGTGGTTTTCGAACAAAAATATTCTTCCATTTATCCGTGCATCTGTGGCGAAGATCTGGGTTGCCGTGGACTGAGTCTAACATCTCCTGGGCAATAAAAAATCGACGATTTGTTATAAAATCCACCATAAGAAATATACCATTCCGTTTGCAACACCTCGAAGTATTCACCTCAGACACCATGAAGATGAAGTATATATTCTTGATCAGAAATAAATTCTACTTTGATTTATGAGCATCGGTCTATCTGTTGAAATCAAGATAGAGCTTGCTATATATAATTTGAATAGCCCCCATATAACGGTAGATCCAACATTTCGGTATATTAGAGATTATGGGCTAGGTTTCCCACCGAATTGACTGTAATTTTGTATTTTAAATTCAAATTGGGTAGAATATTCTCCTACTTTAAATAATCTATATGGATTCACTTTTGACGATATTCCCTACTGACGGTAGTTCCCAACTTTTGGTATTTTGGGGAGTATACGAACGTTTTCAACCGAATTTGCTGCTCCTCCTACCTAATGTTATGAATTTTGGTCCACTTTTAACTATAGTGGTACCTCCCAAATCTCGGTATCAAATATGTCTATATATTACCAAATAATTCATTGGTGAATGCTGTTGAATTATTATCTCTTTTCCATTCCCTTTGTTCGTTTCTCTTGGCCTCGATTATATCCTTTTTTCCTGTTCATTCAAATTTATTCTGTCCTTGTGCTAACCAATGTTAACACTTCATTGGGTTTAATTAAAAGCATGTCAGCAGATGACGATGCTGACACCTTCCCCCTCTTCCCAATACCCGAACAGCAACAACAAGCCTTTGCCATATTTCCATACGTTTGTCCTTGGTGTTGTCCGTCCTAGCTATTGAGCTGCAACATCAGCAGCACGATGTGCCTGTATTGTAATTTTTCTTTCACTCTAATTAAACCATACATTTTAATGAAAAAATAGGAGTATTCGTCCATAAACTATTTGTCGTTTTTGGTACGAGAGAATGAAAACAGATCATAGTAACCTGTTCCTACCAATTCCTCCCTATAGAAAAAATGAACTAAAAGCATGGAACTATGTTACCCAAACAGAAACATAAAACGGCAATATTCTAATGAGTTGCCTGTAAATTATGCAGCAATTTACTGTTGGATTCAGGAACTATCCTCCTATTTACCACACCAGAACTACAAAAAACCCCCTAGCCACATTAATTGGACATCCAAAGAAATAATCGTAACATCATAGAGTTTTTGCCTATACCCATACGCCACAGACTTTGTACGGAAAATTCTTAGTACATTCTGTGCCATATACTGAGTAACTAAACCATATGTGTGGAGTCCTTTATGCGGTACATGGGGTAAATTCTCTGTTGTATTCGATGCAGAAAACAATTCGAAGTTGTTTGATAATAAAAAAGCAAACATGATGCTCCTGCATCGGTTAACCACATGCAAAGATATTACATGGTCTTTTAATATGAGTTTATTTGAAGAGAGTATACAAAAGCTGATGATGTGGAACAAAACACAGGAGTTCATCTGAGGTATCTGGGAGATAATTTAAAGCAATGGGAGTAAATTGAATGAAAAAGGCCGAAAAAATCTGATAAACGCAAATGCTCTTTTGAAATGTGGAAACCCCAATATTTCGATTTCCCCTTTTTGAAAGTTATATATAAGACCTGTTGTAGGGACTCATATCCATAGAATACTGGTAGAAAAGTCTATAATAGATTTTTATCCGAATAACATCCATTGTAGTGTCTTCTGTTTATATTGAGAGATGTCTTGCCTCGTGAATAGTCTCCTATCTTCAGAAGATCTCTTATAGCATGGTATATTTGAAAGGTATTCTGTTTATGGAATACTACTTGAAAAATCTCATATCAAAAGTTCTCCTGCCTAGGGCGACCTGTTGAAATTTATTATATTTATAGATACCATTTTGAAAGTTTTTTAATACATACAATACGCTTTGTAAGTTTCCTAACCAAAGAATACCTTTAAAGACCCATTAACGTCTCTAGAAATCCATTAGGCCTCTTGAAATGTCTCCTGTTTATAGGATACATCTTAAGGTCTCCATTTTATAGAAGGTCCGTTTCGAAAGTTTTCAATCCCATTTGAAAGTTCCCATTAACGTCTCTAGAAGTCCATCAGACCTCTTGAAATATCTCCTATTAATAGGATACAACTAAAGGTCTCCAATTTATAAGAGACCTTAAGAGTCCTTTCAAATGGAAGACCATTTGAAAGGTCCTTTTCTCTATGAAGGACACCTATTAAATATCTTCGATCCATAAAAGATCTCCTGCTTAAAAATAATAATACCTAATACTCCTCCTGAAAATCTGCTAACGTGAGAAGTTTTATATATGGAGGTCAAGTTAAAGTTTTTCTATCTCTAGAAGTCCTCTTGAATGGTCTCCTGTCTTTAGAACTCCTCTTGAAATTTCTTCTGTCCATAGAACACCTCTTAAAAGGTCTTCGATCTATAGATAACATATTAAAAGATTTCCATCTCAAGAAGTCCGTTAGATCTCTTATTAATAGAATATCTCTTGAAAGATCTCCCATCCGTAGAACACCTCCTGAAAGTTCTCTTCAGCCTATCGAAGGTCCGTCGAAACGCCAGTTTTAAAATCCTTTGAAAGGACTTCTTGAAAGGTCTCTAGAACTTCTGTTGAGTGGTATTCTTCCCATAGTGGACTTGTTTAAAGGTTATAGAAGGTCCGTTTCAAATGTTTTCAATCCATTAAATAGAATACCTCTTGAAATCTATTCTGTCCATAGAACATCTCTTAAAAGGTCTTCGATCTAAAGGGAGCCTATTGCAAGATTTTCCATGTCAAGAAGTCAGTTAGACCTTCTTTGAATAGAAAAATCTCCTATCCGTAGAAGACCCCCTGAAGTTCTCTTCAGCTTATCGAAGGTTCGTCGAAACGCCAGTTTTAAAATCCTTTGAGAGGACTTCTTGAAAGGTCTATAGAACCTCTATTAAATATCTTCGATCCATTCCATATCTCCTACTTAAAAATAGTAATACCTATTTTCAGAGAACTCACCTGGAAAATCTGCTAACTTGAGAAGTTTATATATGGAGGTCTAGTTTATAGTTCTTTCATCTCTAGAAGTCCTCTTGAATGGTCTTCTGTCTTTAGAACACCTCTTGAAATCTATTCTACCCATAGAACACTTCTTAAAAGGTCTTAGATCTATAGGGAACCTATTGCAAGATTTTTCATCTCAAGAAGTTCGTTAGACCTCCTTTGAATAGAATGCCTCCTGAAAGTTCTCTTCAGCCCATCGAAAGGTCAGTTTAAAATCTTTTGTCTATAGAAGACCTGTTGGAGGATCATCTGTCTATAGAAGACCTGTTGGAGAAACATCTGTCTATATAAGACCTGTTGTAGGGTTTGCTCTTTATAGAGGTAGTTTCGAAAGGTCTTTAGAACTTCTGGTGAAAGGTATTCTTCCCATAGTAGACCTCTTTAAAGGTCTCTTGTCCATAGATGTTTGCATGCCTATAAGAGAAAGGTCTTCCGTTATAGGATTCAACTCTTTAAAGATCACCTATTTATAGAAGGCGTACTTAAAGATCTGCAGTCTATCGAAGGGCAGTTAGAGGCCATTTTTAAGATCATTTGTCTATAAAAAACCTGTTGGAGGGTTTTCTGCCTCTGTAATATCTGTTGTAAGGTCTTCTGTCTATAGAGAACCTGTTAAAATGTGTTCCGCCTTTAGAACTTCTGGTCAAAGGTTATTTTTCTATAGTAGACCACTTTAAAGATCTTCTGTCGATGTAGTAACTATGGAAAGATTATCGATTCATAGAAGATTTTGTCTCAATAGAATACCTCTTAAAGGGAAGATCACATTTCAAATACATTCCATGAAAAGCCTTCTGCCTATATTCGAAATGTCGACATATCTTTGTTAAAAGAAGACCCGTTGGAGCATATTATTTTACTGCAAGGCCTTTTGTATGATTTTTATATTTATAGAAACCAGTTGCAGGGTATTTTATATTTAGAGGACCTATTGAAATGTTTTTACTCTCTTGAATACTGTGAAAATTTCAACACGGTATGTTTGGGATATATCGGCCCACATTTCAGTATAACCCTCGTAAAATGGTAGCGCAGCCTTTCGGTGTTTTGAAAATATTATCCTCATTTTAACCACCATCTTTTGATATTTCGCTCCTTAGAGGGTAAACACTTATTTCTAGAAATTTTTAAAAATTTCAAGGTACCGCATCATTTATGGTGTTTTAATGGTCTAAGCAAGAAATCTATAAGTTAACAGAGAAAATAAAATACCTATCAATGTAGGTCTGTTCTTTTTTAAATAGTCTCCATATATAGTCCCCGACCGATTTTAGTACTTTGAAGGCCAACATCATTATGGAATGTATGAGAAATTCGACCAGACGAAGTTTATCCATATTTTTACCAGATTGTAAAATACCACAAATATCCACAAAAGCCTTCTCTCTATGGAAGTTCTCTAAATGAGCTCTGTATACAGAAATCCCTCTTTTCCTTATTTTTTATCCAGTAAATACACATTAAAAAATTGTATATTTGTAGGAGTCTTCGATGATGTTCTCTTTGTGGAATATAATACCTTTATCTCTATTTGTTAAAATTTAATTTTTAATTGATTACCAACCACAGAACACATTCATCCTTTCTATATTCATTTCCACTTCCAACCAATACAATTTAATGCAATAAAAACAATTTAATTATAATTTCCCAATCGCCACTCCCATGGAGTTCGCTCCCACCCACCCACAACTTACCTTCATTAATTCCTCTGATACCGCCGGTGTTGTTACAGTCAGATAATAGACATTATTACCAGCCAATGTCCGGCACAGCAGTCTTAATTTGCAAAATTTCGATTTCACAGGATTCTTTTGTATTTCCATTAAATAATCCTGCAACAAGAATAATAACAACAACAAAAGTACGGGTTAATAAAAAAACGCAACATACAAATAAAAATGTCATTGTCAGCTGTTTGTTTGGTTGTTCGTTCGTTTGTCTTTGGTCATGTTTTCGCTGTCCGATAAATATTAATAAAATCAATTTATTGTACTGTTTAATTCATAATCGAAAATAACAATGATAATAATGAAAAATTAATTAATGTCATTTATGTGTGTGTGTGTGCGGATATTTGTTGTTCGAACTGTATGGATAAATATTAAGCGGATTTTGTATTATTGACATCCGTTGAACTTGTGTGAAAATTTAATTATTTTGATTTATTTGAAGGAAAATAGGTGGAATGAAATTTAATCGAACCAAGTTATTTTTCTATTAAAAATACTGATACTTCGGAAGTAACAAATGTGATCTTCTATAGATAGGTCATCATGTTGGAGGCCTACAGAGAGCAATATTCATTGATGACCGCCTTCCCATAAGTCATCAATGAAAATTGCCCTTTGAAGGTCTCCAAGTTGATGCTCTATCTATAGATGATCACATTTAGAATCTTCTACCTATAGAAACCTCATAAAGGATCTTCAATCAAATTATAAGGTTATAATGGACCTCATGCAAAGCCTTCCTTCTTAAGAAGGCCGCATGAAGAATAACGAATACCGAATGAAGTTAAGTCTATCTATAGAAAAATTATAGACATGGTTATTAAGGCGTTGCTCTGTATAGAATACCTATTGAAGGGTGTTATATTTACAAAAAAAAACCTCATAGGATCCCCCTTTCTAAAGATGATCGCATGTACAGTTTACTATTTATAGAAAATTTCATAAATATAGAAGATCTCACAAAGAGTATTTTGGCTATAAAACTATTAGAAAGGACCTCATTCATTTGGTAATTCTTATAAAAGAGCTAGTTATTTAAATATTTACTAAGATATTTTATAGAAGAGCTCATGAGGGACCCTTTTTTTATGGAAAAATAGGAAGAATCTTCTTTTGTACATAAGAAATCTTGAAGGGTCTACTTTTTTATAAGAGTATCTAAATATATCTATGAAAGGGTCTTCCACGTGTGAAATGCCCCAAAAGAGCCCTTCTATCTTTGAAATGCTTCATGAAGGTTTTTCAAAGTTCGCCCATCTATAGAAGCCACCCTGAAGGGTCTTCAATCTATAGCAGCAGTGCCCAAAATAGGTCCCATGGGCTGTCGGTGTGTGTCAAAACTCTCACACACACAATGATAAAAATAGAAATATTTGAAAATAAAAAATATTTTCAAAATTGTCTTTCATTCCTTTTTAGTTTCATACACTGAACAAAAAAATTAGGACATTATTGGCAAAAATTAGTTCAGAAAAGTCAAAATATGTGACCAATACAATGGGGATTGGCGAAACAGAAGCAAATCTATCTTTATATAAGAAAATATATTGAAGACTTGTTGTAGGGGCTTTTGTCTCTAGAAGACAGTTTATACATCCTTTTCTCAATAGAGGAACTCTTAAATGGTTTTTTGTTTCCAGAATTTCTGCTAAAATGTATTCTGTGTATAAAATAATAGATATCTTGAAATGTTTCCTGTGTATTCAACACCTATTTAAAGATACTCTGCCAAAAGAAGGTATGCCGTCTATAGGAGACCTGTTGAAAGCAAGAATATGTCTTCAGAGTAAACTATTTGAAAAACCTTCCTTCTACCTATGGAGTACCCTCATGAAATGTCTTATTTTATGGAAGGCCTGTTCAAGCTTCTAAAAGGCCTCGGGTAAAGCCTTCTATGACATAGCCTCTACATATGGACCCCTGTCGATTTTTAATATTTTGTTTTATGGTAGTGGGTACGAGAAGCTCGACTCGTTTATCACTATTTTTGGCTATATATTTGGCTTTTTGAAGTCATATAGACAAATCTGCAAAATACTTCTCTCTTTATTATACCTCTGGAATGATATTGAGAATCATGAGAACTTCACCACTGGTTATTCTACAAACAACAGACATCATGAAGAGTCTTCTATCTATAGAATAGCCCACGCACATCCTTCTGTCTACAGAAAAGAATATCCAGAATATCATAATCAATCTTTTATCTCTTAAAGACGTCATGAAGAGTCTCCTAACTAACACTGACTTTTGAAAGCAGACTTCTACATCTGTGGATACCAAATAAGGACTACAGTGTAAAAAAAAACTTCATGAAGCATCTTTTTTTTTTAAGGGAACCCCCCCATTCTCGATTTTTTATTTTTAAGATTTTAAATGGGCTGGTAAATGAATACCGATGTTTGTTAAGGTTTGTAACTTTGCACATATATATTTGTAGATTTAAAAAGGAAGAAAAACAATTTACAAAATTTTTTTGTTGTTGTTTTGTTGTTGTTTTTTGTGATCAAAGAAAAGTCCTTATTTTTGATGGCGGGCATGATAACTCCTCACTGGAACGTCGGAATCCGAAAATTCCAACGGTGTTAGAAAGAGTACATGTCTGGCTCTCGTATGAACTAGGATTATTGACTTCACACAACAATTAACAAAATGGCGGAACTTTGAAATTTTTTTTTTTGGAAAATCGCCTATTTTTTACCACAAACTAAGTTAAAAAATAAGGAAGTTCTTCACCGATTGGTTTTATCCTAGTTCATACGAGAGCTATACACTCTCAGAGAAACGTGTCAAAATTTGGAACCGATTGGATTATTAGTTTTTGAGTTATCGTGCCCGCCATTCGCAAAAGTGAAAAACGCGTTTAAAGTTTGAGAAGCCCTTTAGCCGTCACTTGATGCTGACACAATAAATCGGCTATATCTTCAAGGGTTCTTGAGATTTTCACTTGAAATTTTGTAGGGACATTCATGAATTAGTGTAGATTCGAAGTAGATCAAAAAAATTTTGACCCCGAGAATGGGGGGGTCCCCTTAAAGGAGAACTTTGCAAAGGGTCATCATGAACGGTCTTCTATCTATGGAAAACTTCTATTGATGTGGAACCTCATGTTGAGGTTTGTATTTGTGAAAGATCTCGTGAAGCGTTTTTTATTAATGTTTGTCATTTGTTAGTATAAATATACGCTGTACGTCTTGACGTACCACCATGAGTTGTGTTGTTTACCATTGTGACCAATGCCTGTCGTGCAAAGAGAGCAGTAGTTCGAAGAATATTGATGTCGGAGGAAGTGACCAAGCATCTTGGGCTTTTTGACCCTTATCCTAAAGAATGATGCCTTTGGTACCCTCAGTCTCTAACGTCACAAAGAACATTTTCTTTAGGAGAGTGCGACTTCACTTCGGTCTTAAATTATATCTTTATTTCTCTTTCAAGATGAGCTACATGATCGATGTTATAATGAAAAACCAGAGAGATAATACATTTCCACCATTATGGGACGGGTTTCGCCGTTGGTTAAGCAGCTCGTCAGGTATTTTGGCAATGTGGCTTACAAATTTCATTGTTGTATTAATGTCAAATATTGTTGCGAAATTGCATCTACGAATTAAATTCAACCGTGTCAAGGTTCGGAAATTTGACATCACACCAGATCATCCCTTTTTAGAGCAGATTTTTCTTGTAATGACGGACTTTTTTCCATACATCCTACATTATTTTTCTTTCATGGTTACAACCTTAGGATGAAGAAGTGCTATAATTAACGAGAAAGTTGGAGAAGTAGGAAGTGCCAATAAAAAAATTATTCTTGACAGGAGACAGGTATTTCGTAGTATTAATCTGTCGGCAACACCGACTGACACTTCTGTCAAACCCTGGAATAAATGGGCAATCCGCCGTATAGTCCTTTAAAAAAAAAATAATAAACCATATTTTATGATAAACATTCAGAAGTTCATTATTGGACCAGAAATAAATGTAGTAGCTCTCGTATTACGAATTGTCTATAATATCAAATAACAATTAATTTTCCTATTATTTTTTTCTTTCAGATTTTATTTTCTCTGGAAATTGAATCACTTCTTAAGGTAAGTGGATCTTTTTGCTGGCATCTTCATTAATTCTCCCTTTCCTAACTATACACCTTGTACCCACACACACACTATTACAAAACAAAATTAATTAATTTTCCTTGCCTGCAAACCACTCCCTCAACTTTAAGTAAATAAACAAATCTCGTTGTGTAGATTAATTGCAAATCTCGTATTTTGTCCTACTTACCTGTAAATCACTGTAGGTGTATGGGTAACTGTGGGCAAAGTACACCGTATCATTGTCATGCTCAAATTCAATATTAAATGTTAGCGTGTATGAAGAATTGTCCTCTTCCTCTTCACTGGTTTGGTTGCTAAAAAGAAATATCATGACATTTATTACACACACACAAAACACGACGAGCACGCACACAAACACAGTCAAGTACAATATGATACACAAATACAGCAACGCCAAAAGGCGTTGACAATGACAAACAAATGGAAATTAGTTTATAAAAAGAGAGGACGACCATAAAAGAAAGAACGAGGGAACATCATAGTAACATTAATTAAGAGACATTTTGTGACAAACATGGAGACCAAGTATAAGTTACATAAAAAAGAGAATTAGAGATAAAGAAAGAAGAATAATAAGAAAAAAAGCTCATTATAATACAACACAACCAGTTGCAATTATGTGAGAGATACTTTTTTTGAAATATATATGTTACTTTTTTTGGAGTTATTTTCTGTGTGCAGAATTTTGTTGGCATTTTTTAAATTTTAATTTAAATAACTTTTTTTGTTTCTTTTGTAAATTAAAGTAAACAAATGTGTAGTACTTTAATTTACATGCGAAATTCATATGTTCCAATGTTATTTCTTTGTTTGGAAAGAAAGAGGTCAAATGTAGCTGTTGTGAACCCAATTATAAAAGTGTGCTGTTGTGCATAAAAGTTTGTAAAAAGTATTTGAGACATTCCATGTAAAAAACAGCAATGATTTTAAACCAGTACGCGGAGTAGTATAGTCGGACGGGGCCGACCATACGATACCCTACACAACTACCACGGAACTTTAACTTTCTGCGGATGTTTATTCCGATTAGAGGTCAACAGCACCTCTTCCTTACATTTTCGAATATTCAGTACAGCCCTTCTAATTACTTGTCCAGATTCCCTTCATGGTGGGTTGTGTTGTGATGTTCGGATTATATTCGACTCGAAACACACACACACAAATTTAAATTTTCGGTCCATTTTATCCCAAATCTTTAATCTGATCATCACCGAAAATTGTAGGCGTTGTCCTTGATCACAACTGGAACTTCATGGAAAATTTCAAAGCATTCAGCGCGATATTTTCGCCCTCTAATGTGGTAATGGGTTACTAAATGATATCTGAATACGTAAGCACCTGTAAATATTTGAGTGTAACTCCCACATCTGAGTAGATACATCACTATATTTGGTATCAGCGTGACCGCTGAAATTTTTCGAAAAGTATCACAGAAAGTATCATTTTTGAAAAAAAGTGGCACAAAACTTTTGAAAAGGTGGCACACTATTTTGCTACATATTAACATGGAATCTGATGAAATTATATATGGACGGTACTTACAAATTTTAAAATCGGTCAAAAGCTAAGGCTTATGTTCAAATATTTCAATATTTGCGACGATTTGTTACATTCAAGCCTAATGCGGCGCTATGGTGAGGTTCCATGCTAGCTCAGTTTGGGAACATTTGTTTGTGATATGATCCAGTTTTTCAATTTGTGTATTCCCTAGGGTTGATGGTGGCAAGTATTGAGAATTCCCCCTGACAAACAAATGTTCCCAAACTGAGCTATCATGGAAACCCACCATAGCAGCGCATTAGGCTTGAATGTAACAGATTTTAACAAATTCCAAGCCTATATCCAATGAAAAGTCATTGCAGATTCTATTCGATAACAAATCCAAAGCCTGTATCCAATCAAAAGTCATTGTAGATTCTATTCGATGCCCAATGGAAAATTTCGCCTCAATTGGGGAAAAAGTCGGGTCTTAGGCGCACCATCTTGTATACGGGAGCTATACCTATATCTTAACCGATTCTCAACAATTTGGATAGGCTAAACAAATGAGACGTACTAAAATGCAACCTATTCGGATAATTAATGCTACCTTCATTTGGGAAAGAAGTTGCACAAAATTTCAAAAAGTGGCACATTTGGTATCAAAATAGAAAAGTGGCACAGGAGTGGCAAGACCGAAAAAAAGTATCAAAATTGATACTTTAGTGGCACAACGTTCACGCTGCCAACCACTCCTCTTGGATATACTATCAACTCCTCGGGTCTATATCCTTCAGGAGTAAATACATACCCCCCAGAATAAAAATTTTCTAATATGTCACACAAAAGTCAGGGTCCATTTGACTCGCTAAATATTGACCGATCTTAATCAAAACCTCCATGCTTATTCTTTGGCCCGACCCCCATCTCCATGTAAAATTTCGCGATGTTCGGGCCATAATTACGGCCTCTGGAGCGACCAGAAATACCGACAAAAATTAAGTATTTGGTCCATTTCATCCCCTAAATATTAACCGATCTTTTACAAAAACATGCTACATGCAAAATTTCGTGAAGATTGGTCCATAACTGTGGCCTGTATCGTGTTTACAAATTATAATGGACGGACGGACGGACACACATGTCAAGATCGTTTTACTCGTTCAAATTGATAGGAAAATATGTTGAATAGTAATACATCCTTACTGCTATTTTGGAAACTTTCAAGGAGTGTTTAATATTTAATATTAACATATGATATCAAGAAGTAGGGTCTGACAATTCTAACTTGTTATTGTCCATTTTCCCCAAAAATCGGGTTCCTGGTCCAAAGTGTGGACCAAAAAAAAAAAAAAAAAACTTACTGTAAGTTAGTACGAATAATCCTTAACAAAAAAAATTATCGTTATTATTTCAAAAGTTCCGGGAATAAATCGATAGTTTCTGAAAAAGGTGGACTCGATAGAGCGTAGTTCCATAAAAAATTCCCGCTATTTCAGAAAAGATAATTAATAATCCGATTAAGATTCTTTCTTGATTGCACCTTAAGTTTTAACTCGTGGTTTTAATTTGTGTATAGAGATTTTCTTCAATGGAAATGTACCCACTAAAAATTCATGCAATATATATATAGATTCCGACAGAAGATTCTACTTCCAATATAAATTGTATGTAAAAGTGAAAATAGTCAAGGCCTAATTTGTCAAAATACATTTTTATATCATCATCCTTGCCTCGGTTAAATTCGATTTACAAACGTTCGACCGTCTGACAGACAGGTGCGCACAATAACTTCCAAAGGCATTAACCGATCCAAACTTTGTGCACAGAAATATTTCTTCCAGGAGAAACCAGTAAGGAAAGTAGTAAAGTCGGACTGGGCCGAAAGGTATATGATACCCTTCACCACTTTGGGTATATTTTACATATGCATCTTTACAATTGCATGTCAATGTTCCCTCGAAAGAACATACTCATGTCTTTCTCCAAACTATGATAAATTAAGTTTCATTCGGGCAGTTTTATAGTCGTCTTCGTACCATGGGGCAAATTTATGGAAAACGATTTATAGCAAAACTGATACACGTTATTCGGTACGGCACTGTTAAAAATTTAATTTCAATCAGACACCCGTTCGAAATCCATGCATCGGCACCAATTTCAATAAAACGCAATAACGTCATTTTAGTCTCAATTTGATATGTTGTGCAAAATTTCGTGTTAATCGGACAAACATTAGGAGTTTGGTGGACCATTTATGTAAAATCGGACGAATATATATCGACGTGTCCGAACCATAGTATGCTAAGTCGAATTAGCATGTTTTAAAGTTCTTTATCTTTTTAGATACTACGGTCCTTAATTTATATTCTCTGAAATTTTGGTAATCATCGGCCAATTCAAACAAAAGTTATAAGCAAAAATGTACTTAGCATGGCCCGTAAGATATATGAAACTTCTATACTTTGAGAGCTTCTACTGAAAAACTCACTATTCAGACTTAGCATACTATGGTTCGGAGGCGTCGATATGCATATGTGATAACTATATCGAAATCTGAACTCTAGGCTATGCCAAATGTCATGCAAAACCAACGATATTAGCGACTTTGGTGCACCGATTACATAAAATCGGATGAAAATATATATGGGAGCTATAACTAAATTTGAACCGATTTTCCCAATTTCGTCCTTGCGCCAAATAAGTGAACTGTACCAAATTTCATCCAAACCAGATTATAAATGCGACCTGTACTTTGTTCACAAAAATACTTGGACGGACGGACAGACAGACATGCGTAGATACCTCGATTCCTTTTGCCCGAAATTTAACACACGTCTTTTTAGACTCAATCCAGTACGCTATGCTAAATTTCGTGCAAATCGAAGGATATATAGAGACTTTGGTGCTATATCTAAAACTGAACCGATTTTTCCCAACATCAATAGGGTTCGACCTTGGGCCAAATAAATCAGCTGTGCCAAATTTCATCTAATTCGAATCAAAAATGCGACCTGTACTTTGTTTACAATTTAACATGGACAGACGGACGGACATGCATAAATCGACTTAGAAAGTAATTCTATGCATATTCTCAAAAGGAACCATGTGTCTATCTCGTTTCCTTTTGCCTGTTACAAACATATGCACAAAGACATAATAACAAATTGGTATCTAGTTAGGATTGTGTAAATCCACTACTATAGTTTTTTGCAAATAAAGAGCAGGACTTCTATGGGATAGGCATTTTGAAGTTACCTTTAAAATGGCAACAAATCATACAACAAAACGGTGCATATCGGACACTCCGTAGCATGTTAAATAAAGTCCTATATACTTCATATAAAAATAATAGATTTTTCCCCAACCTAATATCACAACTATTTTCCTACTTCGCTCTACCTTACCACTATTTCGCGCTCATGTTTCCTTTCTTTCTCTGTGTTTTGACAAAAGTATATGGATTCCTCCCAATGCTCGGTTGTGTGTGTGTTTTGTTTATCACTTTGCTCCTCTCCCCTTACTGCACACGGATTATTTCACCACTGTTTCTGTTGCTATCAACCGCTGACTTTCCACTGACTCGATTGTGACTAGTTTTGCATTCCATTGCTTCTTTATTTCAGACACTCTTACAGACCTCAGCATTGGTGTTATAAAATTCGCATATGTATTTTCCAAATTATTATGATATAAAAAAAAGAAAAATTAAAAAGACAAAGATTATATGTACCATTGAAAAACGTTGTGCCGGGTTGTGCACACACTCCAAAGTTGGATTTTTACGCCACTAAACCACTATTTAAAGTTTTATGAATTGTATTCATAAAATGCAGAAATCGCGACATTGACAACACTTTCTGAACCATATTCATATAAAATACGATTTTTATTTATTTATTTTTATATATTCCATCTCCGAACTTGATCCAGCTTTGAGAAAATGTATAGAATATGAAACACCTTTTCGATCGAAAAAAGTGAATTAGTAATAAGAGCGAGGAACACACAGTGGTCGAGTTATATCATATTTTAAGGTATGATAAAAGTAATACTCCCGAAAGTAATAATTGTATGCCCCAAACATATACACATCAATTCCTGGGTATGCTATGGGCATTGCACCTACATTCCCTACGTTTAATCTGTTTTTGTATGCGTTCCTGGTTCGTTAGGTTCGTTGATGGTGATGAATCGGAATATTCTGCATATGATCTTGAGCAATTTGTTTTCGAATAGCAGATAAAGCAGAATGAGTTTTGTACAGGCTTCGAATATTTTAAGCTGGGTTTTCCTGGATACAAAATGGGAACGTCTTCATAACAGTCGCATTTTCCAAGCGAAGTGGCTGTAATTTTTAACTTCCGATTTATAGAAATTTTTCAAAACTTGTCAATGGGTGTCATATCTCCTAGGGGTTCGCAAAGCGTAAAATACCACCAAAAATTGTTCTAAGTTGGGCATCGTTTTAAGGTTTCTAGGACCAAATGTTCGCACCTACTTACTTTAAAATACATCTTCGAAGAAAATTGCCATATAGCGGTCCTGACATACGTTGGTGCTGAAGTTGATGCCTCCCATAGGAGTTTATATTCTCCAGTTTTTCTTCATTTCCAATTTTAATAAATCGGATAAAAAGCGATATCGAAATACTTTCTGAATAATTTTTGTTTTCCTCAGCATGGTTTTCTTAGTTTTTCCCTACATGGAATGTCTCATATATGCATACAATTTTTGTGTTTAATTATTTGGTTTTATTTTTTGTTGTTTTGTTTTTGGTTTCGAACTTACTCGTCGTCATTGCGATAGTAACAGATGTTGTCACCGCAACGCACCCAACCTTCATTCCGTGTTTTGGCATTATGGGTGGAGTACATAAGCGGACGCATGCCATCATTGTACAAACTATCCGATTTAATTAAATTGACAATGGAAAATCTGCAATAAGAAGGGGGAGGGAGAAAGAAATTCAAAATATTAAATACAAAATTTTTATTAAAGGGAATTTTTGGGATTCTTTTGCAATTCGTGGCTTCATTTAGGAATTGAAATATTTTTTTTTTATTTTATGGATTTATATAAACATTTGTTTTTTTTTTTAATTCGGAGTAGCTGAATTATTTTTAGTATATAAATATGTATGTAAATATCTGCACTTACCTGTACAACATATTCCGTTTGGTTTTACGCACCCGAAAATAAAACCACTGCCTCGAACGGCTCGTATACAAATCCGGACGCAAATACAGCTCATAATAGGCTGGTGTAATTTGTACAGCTTTGGCCAGATTACCCGATTCGAAACGGGATTCAAATTCCAGGCCATCATATTCCTCCGGATTATAGGGATGACAGTTCGTTAGGAATTTTGAACCACCCACTGCTGAACGGCTAAACTGTGGTAAATATGAATGAAGAGATTTAGATGATTTTGAATTATGGAAAATTTTCTCAGTATTGAATTGATTTTCTTCTTCTTCTTCTTGAGGTTTGTTAAAATTTAGATTTTGATTTAATTGTGAATTCAAATTGGTATAACTACAACTACAGGGTGCATCAGAACAGCAGGTGATTTGTTGTTGTGAATTATTATCGTAAATCTGGGGACTAACACTATTTTCTCTACTCTGAGGAGAACAACTACTCGAAGAGGAGTAACAGATAGTTGTGGGTTTGGGAATTTCAATATTTGCACTCTGTTGTTGTTGACGTTTTGAGGATTTTGAAAGCCAATTACTGGGTGATTTCCCGCCACTTTTAATTTTGTTTTCTGATTTGTTGTTGTGGGGATTGATTTGATTTTCACACTGCCTTCTTGCCAATTCATTTAAATTCAAGGACATATCAGGATTAAAGATGGGATTTGCTTTTATTTGGGCATATTCATGGGATGGGAATTTTGAGGGATTATCGGATTCCTCGTCGTCATCATCATCAAGTGTGGTCCTACTAAAATCTACTTGTAACCCCGCCATTAAATCTTCCTCAATTGCTATGGGTTGGGTAGTTTGTCGTTTCATTTTTCCACTTTTACTTCCAACCTTGCCATATTTTTGCGCAATAACATCCTTGCCAAATTGTTTACGTATATAGGTGGGTGTCGCTGCCCGATATTCTGGTGATTTATCCGCCCATATATCTTCGATTTCTTCTTGTGTTACAGGATTTTCATCGGCCCAGGTGTTCGACTTATCGCCACCATCTTCATCATTATCACGTTCATTATCACTATCTTCGTCTTCATCGTCATCTTCTTCCTCCTCTTCTTCCTCATTGGAGTTGCTGGAGGATCTTTGCTCCAGCGTGGTTAGCAGCTTAGTTATCAAATGTTTATTTTTATCTAAACGTTTGGGCGACTTGAGATCTGGTGTTGAACCTTGTGATTCGCAGGACGACACATCCGAATCACTTGAATCATCATAATTATTTTGATTTTTATTTGATGATTGGGTAGCAGCAGATTTATCCTAAATGGTGGAAAGTTATTGATAAGGTTAGAGGTTATTTTCTATCGAAGGAATTTGGCAGGCATGAGAACAAAACTTTTGGGCGAAAGGGTTAAACACCGCAAACCGAGCGGAGAAAGTAAAGAACCATTAACAATATTAACAAGAGTGTTAGTATGGGAAAATTGGTTAGAAATTGCATACGGAATAGTGTTTATTATAAGCAATTTTTTGCAGAGTAGATCTCAAACGAAACCTCGGTATAAAATATTACTCATTCATCTATAAAACTGTGCGACAACATCAAGGTCATGGTCTAGGGGTGGAAAATTTCTATTGGACATGAGTATATGAAAACCACAGAAGGAAAAAAGCGCAATATGTCAAAGTTCGGTGTGATATATATATATATATATATATTTTTTTTTTTTTGCTAGCGACCCTATTATACTTGAAGAAATAGCTTCATACCTTCATTTATATCTATTGTATGTATTTTTTGAGAAGACATTTCTACAGTAAAATCGAATGACAATTTTTTTGTAGAATATTTTTTCCTTCTATTGCTTTTATGCTCTTTTCGTCCTTAATTTATTGAACCGGTCACTAATTATCACAAGGTGTGAATTTTCATCCTCGCAATATTCTACAAAAATGTTGCTCTTAAGATTTTAGGTGAGGTCCTCTAAAACGAGAAGTTGATATTTTAACGCTTTATTGATCTATTCTTAATTTGACCCGATTCATGCCACTAAAACCCTATGTGTAGGTATTCCAATAAATTCAGTAGACTTTGCTTATTATGTTGACCTGCCAGATTCCTCTGAATTATTTTCTAAAAAAATATATTGTTCTGCCAAATAAGCAAAAAAAAAAAAAAAAAAAAATAATAATAATAAATTTCGAGGGAAAAATAACCGGTTTTGTAATTTTTTTAACCGGATATTCAGATAATAAAACCGGGAATAGTCCGGTTCAATAAATTTACAACGTTTGTGTTTATTAGCTTTCTAATAATATACATATGAGGTATTGAAACCGGTTTTATTATCTGAATAACCGATTCAAAAATTTATAAAACCGGTTATTTTTTACTCGATATTTATTTTTAGACACATGTTTATATCCTCAGCCTTATGGCTAATTAGGGCATATACACTTTGATACGGAAAAAATCAGCCTCATCGAAATATTGATTTAAGACCCCATGTTTCTTTGAACCAACTCCGTTTCTGACAATTTGGAGTCGATTTACAAATGTCCGTCCGTCTGTCTATCTCTCTGGCCGGCTCTGGTGCGCACGATAACTCTCGAAGGTAGTAACCGACATCAGTAATATTTCTACTAAACTTAGCTCAACTTCGGAGAAGGGGAATATCGGTCCACTCCTTCTGGTACCTTCCCCACAAAATAGTCAACATTTTCCTATAAATTAATGTTATAAGATATGTGAGCAGACTACCAAACTTTGCACAACCTATTATCTTTATCAAGCTTAGATTAAGTTCGATGATAGGACGTTTCCTTCTGGTGTACTCCAACCCCTTCTGTTACCTCCAATATTAACCAAACTTTGTAGAACGTATTATCTTTACCAAGCTTAGATCAAGTTCGAAGTTCGGATCCGTCTGCCCTCTCCTCTGGTACTTCCCCCATGAAGGGTCAACATTTTCAATATTTTTAAATCGAATATCAGGCAAAAGGAATGTCCAATTTGAACCAAACTTTACACAAGTATAGATCAAGTACGAAGATGGGACCCTTTAGTCCACCCCTTCTGATACCTCCCCAAATATGGGTCAATATTATATAAACTTGTAATTTTTTTTGAAGTGAAGAACCGATTAGATCTACTATAAATCCGAAATCTCTTTGATAAAAACACATACCTTATATAAAACGAATAATAAAACCTGTGTGTAACTCCGAAGACCTACGCAAACCATAGTCTGAGGGTATATATCTGTGGGCAAAAGCGACTGACGTTTTTTTTACTTGTTAGATACATACTACCAATTAAGATATGAGGCTTTATCTTTAAGGTCACATTAGGGTCGCAAGCAAAAAACGCTTGCCATATCTCCGAACTTTGACCCATGGCGAATTTTTCCTTCTGAGGTTTTCATATAATCGCCATCGTTTTTGATTCCCAATACGAATTTTACATCTCGCACAGTGAGATAAACGTATTTTCTAAATTTCTATTTTTTCTGTAGAATGGTTCAAATAGGCATAATTTTGTTCAGTGTCGAAGTCGGAACAAGGGCAACCTAACTTCATCCAGAAGTGTGAGAGCTGGTGTTATCTTCGTTTCATATTTATCGACTTGTCATCGAAAAATGGACTCGACATATTGTTAACCCACTGGCATTATTGGTAGAAATCAAATGGTGTCGATTTAACCATGCCCATCTGTCTAAAATTCCCGATAGAGCTCTTGAATAAACGGTTATATTTAGGATATTTTGAAGTTTTTAGTCACATTTCCAAACTACTGAAGTGTGATGATCGAATGGTAAAAGACTCTTCGAAGCTTATAGAAGGCCTCCAGATGAATTTGTAATGACACTGTGCCACAAAATCGAGCTCATGGTCTGGGGGTGAAAAATTCCGTATGGAGATGATGTGGCTTTTGCAGGACATTTTATCCAATGAGGACTATTTTTATAATACATATTTTTCTATATGTAGTCATTGTGCCTCTTTCTCGTCCATATTATTATTATATTTTTTTTTACTTAACCTAAAGACAATAAAATAAGATTACCATAAATAAATTGTCTAATTAATAGCAACCTACATCCAGCGGTATAGTAATTGTAGTACCAGATCCGGTCGGTACACGTGTTCTCCACAAGTGTAGTGGATCTTCTAACTTCTAAGTGACCAAGGCCTTATGTTCTTTTCAAATATTTCTTATTATAGTATAGGTCTGGAATATGTTCTAATTGCCCTAGACCTCTAAATATGACTGACTATAAAAGACTTTTTGGAGAACTATCACCCATAGACCTCTTGGAGCTTTTCTAGATATGCACAAATTTAATGTATTCATTGCTTACTACAGAGACAACTTTAAATATTACATACCTTCAAAAACCCTACTAAGGAGGTCTTCTAACGCTAGAAAACCGTCAGAAGACCTCTGTAAGTTTTTTACATCTTAAAAAGCTCTACAAAATATAACACATTTTATTGCCATAAAGGAACTTCAGAGGGTCTTCTAACAACACGAAAACAAAAAAAAAACTAGTAGTCGATTTTCACAAATTTTGCAAGGCAAGAAAAAGATGATAACCGCTTGGAGCAAAGTCCGGACTGTATGGCAGAGGCATTAAAACTTCCCAACCAAGCTAACGAAGTCTCTAGCGAGTCATTGTAGATGTGTCTGGCCTAGCGTTGTCCTGGTGGTACACTGTACCTCTCCTGTTGGCCAGTTCTGGCCGTTTCTGGTCAATTGCTATCTTCAAACGGTCCAGTTGTTGGCAGTAGAGATCAGAAATTTAGCATTTGGCCATATGGAGACAACTCATAATAAATAACCCCTTCTAGTCCCACCAAATGCATAGCAGAATGTCTTGGCCGTTAGTCTTGGTTTGGCCATCGTTTGAGGTACTTCACCGCTATTTGACCACGATCGTATTCGCACAGGGTTATCGTATGTGATCCATTTCTCATCTCCAGTCACCATTCGTTTAAGAAATGGGTCTATCTCATTCCGTTTCGGCCAAGGCTTCGCAGATGGAAATTCGATCGCTCCTATTTTTTCTGTTTATCCGATTTTATCGCAATTTTCGACGACCGGTCTAATGAATTTATTTTTCCCCAAACTAATATTAAGCATATTTTTACTACAAAGGAACTTCAGAAGGTCTTCTAATCGTAGAAATCTTCTAGTTTAGGAGGTTTCTTTATTATAGAGGACATCTTAAAGTTATTTTATCTATAGG